TATTTCATATATTCGATATATGTATATAATAGAATATATCCCATTATTAATCATCGGTTTTAAGCTATTTTTTGTTATAGCTCTACATATGCGAAATCTTCGTAGATCTATCTGATAATCTAAAATTCGATCTAACAAAGCCAAAAATTTATATGTTTTAAATTTTCTCATCTGTATAGAAACTAACTCTCTCACTATCTATATAAGGACTTCATATTATGCAAGTCACATAATATACTATTATAATATAGAAAACTATATGTACAAATCGAGCTTAAATCTATATAAGAATCCTTTTTTCGTATAATAAAAACTGTCTGTAGGGATCTACAATATTAATATATCAGATAAGAATTAAATAACAAATTTTCAAACTTAGAATTTGCTATTTTTTTTTTCTAGAAAAACTTTTGATACACACACCCCAACACGAAATATACATCTTACGTCTAACACCTATGAAGCTAGAAAGTCATGAGTCTATGAATCTAGGACGTGACTTATGAAGCTAGAAAGTCATGAGTCTATGAATCTAGGGCGTGACTTACTTGTGGACTGCTTCACTTCCTTGCTGGCCCAGACGGGTTCATGCGTCTGGTTGTAGGACTGCTGATCCCAAACGGCTTTGTCATCCACGTTTTTGCTCTGGAATTGAAATGGATCAATAGGTCAATAGGTTTATCTATGTCGAAAGACTTGTACTGTGTGGCAGACTTACATAATCCTTGTCGACATGCAGCTCGAGCTCGTCGCTGGTCTGCTCCATGCTGCTGTGCGTGATGCCGTAGTAGAAGTACATTATGAAGCCGAGAGTCATCCATACAGTGAACCTAATGAGGGTCAGTATGCTTAGCTTAAATATTAAATAAATGTTAACAGTTATTGCGATAGCCGGAATAAATGGAAGTCCAGGCGTTAAAAACGCAAGTGCATATCTGTGAAAGATCAAAGAGGACCGTTACAATTGAGCATTTCCAGAGAGATTATGTGAGAAGCATTCTGAAATTCGGCCGAAGCCGAAGATGCCAGATTATAGCCTTGCAGAAGATAAAATTTAGAACTTGTACAGCCCACTCTACAATGTTTACAGTTTGTATATATATCGATAATAACTAATCATCGATAGTTATCGGTTGTTTCTAATGGGCAAAAATTAATCATTAGATAAAACTACATTTAAGTTTCTTGCAATTGAATCGTTAATTACCGATATTTATCGTTAAATGCATTCGCAGAATTAGCAGACAAAAAGCTTAGCATTTCGATTTCGTGATCTAAATATGATCTCTGCAAAGTTATCGATAGGATACACCATTTGGTTAGTTGTTATTATTGGCTTTACCTATTCTGTGGTTGTCTCGATATAATCAATAATATCACAAATATGCCGATAAATAAAATGATATAAATGAAGATGGCGAGGCCGCCGGACCAACCGATGGCCGCGAACAAATCCAAGAAGAATATGAGACCGAACATGATTCCAACTAGTTTCGTGACATACATGCCTGTGTATGCGGTGTGTATTCGAAGACGGATATTTGCATATCGAATTTCGAATTACGGATTTCGAATTTCGAATTTCGGATGCGTAAGCAATTTCGAAGTCGCGATGTCATCGGGAGCAAAACACAAAATGGAATGAGAGAAAGCAAAAGAGCAACGAGAATATTGAATATTGAATTTCGATATCGAATACGAAAAGATAGTGGGAGACAGAGACAGAGCGGGAAAGACAGACAGAGATGGAGAGGGATAGAGTGTGAAAGAGAGAGTGAGAGACAGAGAAAGAAAGAGAGAGTGTGTGTGTGTGGGAGAGAGAGGAAGAAAGGAAGATAGGGAAACAGAATGAGTATACCCTGTAACATACCACTTTCGGAGGTCGCCTGACCAGGATTCACCCAGGGAAAGAAACCGGGGCACAGGTACGCATAGTCATGAATCTTGCGCGTTATAAAATTAAGGCCCATCGTATCAAAGGCGGTGGCCTGTCCAGTGGGTCCGGTGGGGGCACCATGGACGCTGCCATAGAACTTGTTCTCGGAGCGATCCGACACCAAAAACTGATCGTCCCGCCCACCCAAATAGCCCTCCGGACTGTCATCGATAAACGAATCGTCCGAGTCGGACATGCCGCGCGTCACACGCTTGATCGTTAGCTTAGTCGGCTCGAGGACCTCCGACGGACGAGCATGCGGATCCGTGGCGGTGCCCGGCGCCAGCGGCGTGCGCAACTGCGCCGGCAGCAGCTCCACCAGCGACGTGCTATGCGGCTGATAGCGCAGCACCAGCACACAGGTGGACACCAGGGTGTAGGCCAGCAGCGTGCCGATCGACATCATCTCCACGAGAATGTCCAGCCGCACGGTTAGGGCAACCAGCGCGGCGGCCAGTCCGCTGCCCACCGTCGCCAAGCCGGGCACGTTTGTGCGCTGCCACAGATGCGACAATTGCCTGAAATGATGAAACCAGTGAGGCGAGATTTCAAGCCTAAACTTGGTCACAACTCACCTGAATATCAAGCCATCCTGGGCCATGGCGTAGATGACGCGCGGCATCGGAAACATTGAACCAAACATGGCCACCGAGAGGCCAGCTGTGGCACCAACCGCAACCACAGCACGGCACTTGGGCGCATTCACATAGGACCACATCTGCACTAGAGCGGCGCCCACATTGATGTGATCATAGGGCACTAAGAGAGAAGAGAGAGACAGAGAGAGGGAGAGATAAAAATATATTGTCATTGGAAGTGCGAGGTAGAGAGAAGGAAAAATATATCTGATCTAAGGCTATATATAGGTTATAGGCATTAAACTAGGCCTTATAAACCGATTACGATAATCGATTTTTATCGAATTTGTTATGATCAAAGATATAAATAAGAATTTATGCTCTACGTATATAATGCTAATGTCGGCAGGTCTTAAAGCTCTCGAGTTATCCTTAATGGACTTTTACCGAGCTTTAAGTCAAAATATTTGGGTCTCACTATGCAAAATAATATCTAATAATAATATACATATATATGTTATCAAGAGGCTATCTAAAATTCGATACTGATAAATAATAATAGAAGGAACCATAATATAGATAGATTAAAAACCTCATAGCTCTATCCAGTTTTAAGAGAGCTTTAAAGTCAGGGACAGGTTGAGATCTTAATATTCATGTAATCCCAGAATGGTTCTAGAGCACTAGGAGCTTTTGAAAAAGTCCTATTTAACCTAAAAATGAATTGCAATAGGTTACTCAGCCGTTTCACTCACCGACTAAAGTAAGGACTAGACTAACGCTGACATAGGCAATGAGGACAACGATGAGGGAGCCAACGATTGCCTTCGGTATGCTCTTTTGCGGATTGTGCGCCTCCTCGCCGGTGGTTGCGATGATATCGAAACCAATAAATGCATAGAAACAGGTGGCGGCACCCGAGAAAACCTGAAGAAAATTATAGAAAGTATATATGAATATACATATGTACATATATATATATATAGAGAGAGAGAGAGAGAGAGGAATGTCTATATGATTAGCTGCTACTTACGCCACTCCAGCCATAGGGCAGAAAGCCCTGATGCTCCGACCACGTTTTCGTATCAACGTAAAAGAGCCCTGCGGCCATAACGAACACCCACGTGGCCAGATTGATGGCATTTAGGGTGTGATTGAAGATAACAGATTTGCTGGCGCCCATCGCCAAAACGCTGGTCATGATGAGTGTTATGCCAAAGGCTATAAAGTCAGGTGGTTTGCCTAGAAGAAGAATTGTATCAATCAAGTTAAAGCTACATATAGTTTATATTAAATCAATCAAGCAATCAATCAGTTGGTTTTGTCTTTCTGTCAAACTATTTTTGAATACAAATAGTATAATAGCTCTGCATTAGAATGTTTTTATTTCACTAATTGATGCCAAGTTGCTGAGCTGAGTTCGCTCATCGGAGTATTCACTGTACACTTACCAAATATGGTGCCAATTGACTCACTCATCGCAGTCGCAATGGCATTGCCCGTCAATGAATCAAAACTTGAGCTTAATGCACATGCACAGGCACTTGTTCCTGCAAATGAATGGATAGAATGATATCGATATGACCTATTCCATGTGGCGCTACTCTCACTTACCTATTAGATATTCCAATATCATGTTCCAACCAATTATAAAAGCTACAAATTCTCCAACTGCCACATATGAATACATATAGGCTGAGCCGGAAGTGTGTGGCACTCGAACGCCAAATTCCGCATAGCAAGCGCCTTCAAGGATATACAGCATATAGGATATATAGTGGCATTATCTAGATGGTTATAAATTGGATAGTTACCTGAGAATATGCTTGCTATGGCGGCTATAATAAAACTAATCACCACACCGGGTCCAGCCATCCTTTGGGCCACCAGGCCAGCAACCAGGTACATGCCGGTGCCGCAACATGACCCAATGCCCAAGGATGTCAGATCCAGGGTATTTAGACATTTCTAGTGAATAAAAATACAGTTACAAGAAAACGGGAAGGAGAAGAGGATTAGATGAAATATGCTTTATATTGCTTAAGTAACTCGAATCATGTATCTGTTATTAATATTCATTGCATACTTTTCGGTGCTGACATTGGAGGTATGTATGGAGCTATATCTATATCTATATCTATATCTATATCTATATCTATATCTATATCTATATCTATATCTATATCTATATCTATATCTATATCTATATCTATATCTATATCTATATCTATATCTATATCTATATCTATATCTATATCTATATCTATAT